CACACACACACACACACACACACACACACACACACACACACACACACACGATTCAGTGGAAGAAGTTGTGCTTTCCCAGTGTGACCACAGGAAACATTAAACAACTGTTCACATTTGACTGAGCTGATTGGTGGTGTAACTGGGGAAGTAAGGGGTCAAGAGAGAGCTGTAGGGGAGTCACGTTTCTGGTCACAGAGAGAGTTCAGAGTCAGGGGTCACACTAACAGGTGTGGAAGAGCTGGGACATAGCGTTTACTGTGTGCTGAACCTGAAGGTGCACAGGGAAGATCTGTTCAGATGTTCTGTTCTGTTTGTAAAATAATGATGTAAAAGGATGTGCTCATAATGAAGTCATGGCTGCAGGGAGGTGGGCACATCCGGGACAGGTCATCAGACTACCCACAGGGTCTGTGGCTCTTGGATGTTTTGATTTGAGCTGGGCTTCAGCGAGACTTGCAAATTAATTTCAACGCAATATGATAAATAATTGTTAAGACATTTTGTTAAGAAACACAAACATCAAGCTTACAGTGGAGGAATAAACCTCAGAAGATTAGAAGCCATTAGTCATTATGTTTGGGGAGCTATGAACATCTAAAACATTTTGTAAGAAAAAAAATTGATGGAGAATTATTGGAACTGCTCATTAACAGCAAGATTTTTTTTCTTTAATGCCTGCAAATTAATTTTAATATTGTTTTTGTTTCCTTCTATGAATAAAAAAAAGCCTTTTACTTTGAAAGTACATATTTTACTGCCAGATATGTTCAGATAACACATAAGAGGAAGGCAGTGTTCACATCCTGCTCCTTTCTTGAACAAAACTGGCTTTATAGGAAATTGATGGGTTTGGATATTCTGGCCCTGCCCTGCACTGCGGCAGAGGCAGAAAATCTGGTGTCTGTGTGTCTGTAAGCGAGCAAGAGAGGGGAAGGAAAGAGAGAGAGAGCCCACACTGCAGGACTCGACACCTCATCACACCTCATCAGTAATCTAAGATTCTGCACATTTCTGCACAAACAGATGGATACGCACAGTTTTGCTGTTGTGTTCGAGCTCCTTTTTAAAATAATAACAATAATAATAATAAATGTAAAAAATGTAGAAGATTTTAATCTGGTTGTGTACAAACAGGAAGTATAAAGTGACAGGTTACTTCTGGAATGTGTTCTTGTGTCTTTGAAGAGAGTTATCCGAGGACCCAGAACATGATGCTAATGTTACACAACAGCACTGAGGGCTGTCCACTTAGAGCCACATAATTCCTTTCAGATTTCCCTTTCCACCCCCATCCACCCCTACAGAAAAAGTCCTGTCCGGCACGAACATCGATTCATCATCATATACTATAAATATTAGTTCTTAATCCTATTTATTTTGCAGGTTGCACATTACCTTTGAATTTGAGTATATTGCTATCCACCTGCTGGTTCGTCACCATAGCGTCGTTCATTTCATTCATTTCTATATCTCTCATTTGAGAAGATGCTCCTGTTCTTTCCTTTTTTAAGTTGCTTACCTTGTCGGTCTCTGGTGTTTTTGTATTTATAGTCCTTTAGTTGTCAGTTCTTCTGTGTACCCCCTTTTTTTGTTCTTCTCTCCATGTCTAAGTTTGCCTTTATTCTTCAAATGCTCATTGTTTTATGGACTTAGTGAGGCTACCACCGCTGCCAATGTATGGTTGCAAGCATGAATGGTTGTTAATCTCTCTGTATTATCTCTCTGTGTTTTACTGGTAGCAGGTTTTAGTTCCCTCAAGTTGAGCAGTTAAGAAAATGGATAGACTGATGGTTTTATAGATTTTTGGCTCTTCCACCACCTTTTCATTTGAACTCAAATGTCTGGTTCTTATGTTCAAGAAACACAGGGCTCTGAAGACAAATCCCTCAGCTGCACAGAATCAGCTCTGAGGGTTAAGATTGCGCACATGCTGTTCATGGAAAATCGCAAGTTACTTCAGATCATTACGCCAAAGAAAGAAATACCTTCACTATATTAGTTCACTTCCATAACATTTGAGCTACAGCTGCAATTAGCTTAATTTCCCAGCCTAGTATAACAGGGGATTAATGACCCTGATGATACTGTCAGGAGCCTCTTTCAACACAATAAAGTACCCTGCTGTATGGCAAAAACTACTTAGGACTGTTTGAAAAGACAGAGAATGACAACGAGCACAAGGTGAAGCTCTCAACACATCCCACAGATGATCATTCTCCAATGAGCATTTCTCAGAATGTATTATAAGTAGAAGTATAATCCAGAGAGCCCCCCACTAACAATCTCCAGGATTTCAAACATCTGACTGCTAACATCTTGAAGTCTGATATGTCGAGTCCTTGCCACAGTGGCTTGGAGCTGTTTGGCAGCATGGCTGGTGTACGATATGATGATGCTTCTCTTTTGAATTTAATTGCAATGTGGATTGATTTTCACTGTTACACATCCCAGCAAATTGGTTTGTGTGAGCGCTCCCTCTCCAACTTTTGTTAATGGCAACACAATAATCCTTGGTCAAAGTGACCCACTGTTTGTACTGGAGACAAAGAACCCCTCCAAGGTAGCTGCAGATGGCAGACATTCAACGAAGTGCCAGGGTTGATCCTAAAAATGCACTGGACTGTGCCACTTCTCCTTCACCAAGCCCTCGCGGTACATACTACAGCTGAGTGGGTAAGGGAACTCTCTGTGCCTAGCCAGATGTTGGCCTAATTTACTATGACTTCCAGCGTATGTGGCCCATTTACATGTCCTCACACCCAATGTGTCTGTGTCGGCATGTGTACAATGTCTGCCTCTATTTCAGGTGTTCTAGCAATCCCCCTAGTGACAGCCCATAATTCACTTTGTTTTTAGCAAAAAAATAAAAAAGCCGCAAGAGCTAAGCTGACCTCAGGACAGCTCAGGTTCATTTTCATGTCATTTTTAAAAAAATGTTTCAAGTCATTATGATGAGTTCATTTTAGAAATTCAACACAAGAATGTCTTTTATCAATAGTAAAAAGAAAGAAAGAAAAAGCCTTACCACGTAATTTGGTGTGCTCCTGTTGCTCTGCGTATTCAGGAAACCATGGTTCCCATTACGGCTAGAATCCGCTTTCATACGGCAATGGGGGTCTGACTTGTTTTGCTTACAACCAGTCACCTTTCTGATAATTATTGAATCATGAAAGAGATGTCTACTCCATCACCTGACTGCAGCTATGATCACCTCTACTGAATGCTTAAATGAGCTTCATCCGCTGTTTTGTTTTGGCAGTCCACATCTCCTTTGGTTCAGTCTTGCCACTCTTACCACAATCCTCTACAGATGCTCCGGGAATTTTTTTTCCATTAAACAACAACTTTAGAACTTTACACTATAGGTGTAAAACACCAAACAGATAAAGTTTATGAACATTTTGTGAGGATGGCATTGCATTTTACAGATAAGAATAGAAAATGTGAGGGCATATGTGTTGGCTGGCTTGCTTGAGCTCATCTGAGACACTTCCATAGCTGGCAGCAACCAGATGTGGTGCATTTGAAGATGGACGAGAGCAGATAAAAGCAGCCTTTAAAAAACAACAACAAAACACCGTCACATAACTTGATTCAATTAATTAAAATAGGATAGAATCTTTCCTTCTTCATCCCAACATGTTACTTATGCAGGTAAACATGTGTTATTTACATTTTTTCCCCCACTCTGGCTATAATTCCCTGAACGGTAACTAAGATCTAAGATCAGGATTGTGGTAATGGAAAATGACAGTAATCCGCCATCATCCTGATATAAATTTACTCTATCCTTAATGAGGCAGTGACACAGAGCCTGTTAAAGGAATTATTAGCGTCGCTTGAGTGGAAAAGATAAGCACCTCACTTCCTGCAGACGTGACTGGGGAGATACTGAGCAGATGTCTAGTGTAGTGTATTGTTTCATAAGCAAGTGATAAAAAAAAAAAAATAAATAAATAAATAAATAGATAACAAGAACAGTGAATTTAGGATGCCAAACAGGGCAAGCTTTATTCAACACAGCAATAAAGAAGAAGAAGAAAAAAAACCAAACAAAAAAAACCAAAACAGTCAACTTTTGAAAAAAGATTTCAAACAAATGTACATGTCAATCAAACAAACAAAAAGAAAAGAAAAAAATATAAGCAAAATAGCTACCAAATAAATAAATCACATCAGCAACAATACTTCCATCAGACACCCTCGAAGATGCTGTACAATGACTATAAAACAAGAGACGGTATGTACAATCGTACAACTTTAATAGGACATGCTTAGGAGTTTGACTGCACCATTTTTACCACACACTGACTACAACACAAAGGCTGCATATTAACTGACATGGTCATTGAGCCGCCCATGTAAACCATCATCAGAAGGCCTGGCAGAGAAAAACCCAGAGAAAAATATCAAGATTTTTTTATTTTTATTTGTTATTAATTATTTTTTAAACAAGCTACGCAGTAAATGCTTAAACGATGCAGTAATAATGGATGTGGGGATGTCTGCTTGTGAGCTAACCCTATCTGTCCACACAACCAACCCAAGAGCCAGTCTCTGTGTTTCTGAGCTGAATTGTTGCTAGGCAATGCTGAGGAATTTTGTGTGTGACCATGAACTGGAAGCCTTTGTGCAAATCGCCACTTTAAGTTCCTCCAACTACCAGGGGCAGTCCACAGCTCCGTACAGACAGAGCAGCCATTTCAGAAAAATCTCAAAAACAGCACGGAGACTCACATCAGGCCATTAAATACATAAAAATATACACACACACGCGCACACAAAGAATGGAAAAATAGCTTTCTTTGGACAGGGCCAGCCTGTGCAGTTTGATTACTTGTTCTCCTTAGTCCCACATTATCCCCCCCCCCCCTCCACCCACACTAGCCCTTGATGAATAATTGCTAGACTTTAATGTATAGTTCAAATTTGAAAAAACAATAAACAATTCACTTGAGGCATACTGCCTCAGTGGTTTTATTATGATTATGTTGAGCTGACAGCAACAACTCAAATAGCATGTTGTTCCTTCTTGTTTGGAATACTCTGATCTAGTTCATAGCGCAAACGCCGTCCTTGGTTTTCTATATACCGATCACCACTTACACAGGGGGAAGGAGGGGCTATATCAGCAGCCTTTTGTACAGCGGAGATTGAAACAATCTCTAACATGTCGATCCATGGAGCACTTATAGCATGACAGTAATCACAAAGCTGCGTTGTTATTGCCACGCAGGTTACTTTTGCATCACAAAGCACTTAAATCGTTATTGCTTTATGGTTAGAAGCACAGAGATCGATGCTGCACACACACATAACCATGAAGCCTAAGATTTAAGCTCAGAAAAGCATCTGATTTTTCCCTTTGTTTTTTGCAATGTAACCTACAGTAAGTGCTGCTTATTGGATGTGAACAGATTTTACAAGTGTGTGCAAAACAAAAATCAGTCCTTTTGGAAGAATTGAATCAAGTTGAGGGTGCTACATTGCATTGATGCAAATGTGAGGAGTCCAGGCATATTACAGTAATTACAGTATTCAAAAATCTCATTGACTTCTGGGAACTCAATATGAAAGGCATTTTTTTCAAAACTGCATACCATTTGAGAATTGTTGAAAAACTGTCAACAATGCAATGCTACAGATTTTTTACTGAAGAGTGTCTGAAAATACAAACCATTTCAGGTCAGTCTGACTTCCATGTAGGAGTGATCTTATTCTTTTTAGATTTGCCTCCTAACACCTGAACTCGTATCGATAACCAGCCACGGTTCAATAATCAACAGGCTAAGCAAAGCTAAGCTCAACATTGAACCGACTGTGGTTAAGCTCCTGGTCACCACAAGAGCAATTAAATGTGTCTATCCCACCAGACTCCAGCAGTGATAAAAGACACCCTGGAAGTCCAGCTAAACCTCTGCTTATATTTTGTGTCCGTTCCGCATTTCTGCAGTCGTTTTGTGTACACGGAGCCTCTTCAGCATCTTCCAGTTATTCCACTGAAAGCTTGCAGAGCAACACTATCCAGAGCTACACAGCCATGCATCGAGAATCCATGCAGGCTGGCATAGTCTAGACTGCTGTAAGCACAGCAGCCTGTGCTCACTGCTCTCATCCCTGCTCTCATCCCTGCTGAGACAATAAGAACATCTCTCTATGTAATAGCTCTCACGGTTTGTCCCATTGCTCCCTGTACATCTATTCTATGTACTTCCAGTAAATGGGGAAACCAGTGACACGCTATTTCACACCCCACACACCTTACTAAGAGGGATGTACAGGATTTTTGCTATTTCCTGATGGTTTCATGCTAGATTTATTTTTTGAGTTAAAAAAAAATATCCACTGAATTTTCCGAGAGGCATTTACATCACAAGATTAAACGTCACACGTTGCACATTTCCATTTCGGACAAAATCAACATGTGCCTATAGATAGCAAAATTAGACAGATGTAACACCATTGTAGTTGCATACTGTTCACAGGTGAAAATAAAATGGTAGCTTGGTGATCAAACCTCGACTGATATTGTTTGTTCGAAAGCAAAAAACAAACTAACAAACAAACAAAAAATAAACAGTGGAAAAGGATGGAGGTGCACTAAAAGGTTCAGGAGCAAGTGGACAGCGAAGTGTCCACCTCTTCTGAGTGGTGTTTGGTTTCTTGGGGGGGTGAGGGAAGGATTCAGCAGGTAACCCTGATAAAACCATCGTGCCCACCCCCCCTTCCCCGAGACCAAAGACGCAGGGGATGTGGGTTTAATGTGAGGACTGTAACCCAAGAGGTCTCCACTCACATTACCGAGCAGCTCTTGGCCTTCTCCTTCTTGAAGGTGGTGGAGATCAAATCTGACTTGCTGGGCAGGTGAAGAAGTCTTTTGGAGAGGCGTCGGGTGGGGCTGGGCTTCGGGAGAGGCTGCAGCTTGTTGATGCAGGCCATCGCAGCGGTGCGGAATACGCTGTGAATGCTCTTCTCCGAGGTGAACGCCGAGCACTCGAGATAAGCCTCTGCACCCAGCTGCTTAGCCATAGCAGAACCCTGCAATAAATGAAGCAATAACCGATACTGTTCATGATATTCTTCAATGGTGCCGTTTAATTTTTTCCTGTGATATAGTGTGGAGACAAGTCCTTTGGGACGGGTGTTACAGGAAAGGCATAGTTGTAAAAATCTGCACACACACACATGGATCTTCGTTTGTTTCTTTTGTCTCACCTGTTCATAGGTGATTGGAGTCTGCTTCTGATTGGACAGCTCCATCAGTGTGCAGACATCTGTGCGAAGGTCGGTCTTACAGCCGATGAGTAAAATACGTGTGCTTGGACAGAAGTCCAGAATTTCAGTTTTCCACTGCGGACCCAAAAAGGTGATCAGTTGGTGTATGGTGACAAATAGTCTGTTAATACACTTTGGAGTCACCGTAGGCTACAAGAGAGAATAGGACTTTGAAGTAAAGTGACCTTAAGTCATTACCTTCTTCAGACTGCTGTCCACAGTATCTGGGCGGCTGATGTCAAAACACAGCAAAACTGCATCTGAGTCACTGTAGCACAAGGGCCTCACATTGTCATAGTACGGAGAACCTTACAGGAGAGAGAGGAGAGCAATGTTATAACAAACTATGAAAATGTAGACAAAAGTAGTTTTGCATTCCATAAAACATTTCCTAGAACTTTTGGATGCTCAGAAATATTTTTAATCATGTTTTTTTAAGAGGAAACTTCCAGTTTTGCTGCTGTTTAACCAGGTCTAGTCTTCTTTAATATGCCAGGTCAATTAATAGTAACTTCATATTGCTGGTTTGTGTGACAAAAGAGAACTCCTGCATAGCCATAGTTAGGTGTGAATGAACACATTTGCTGTGCAGGTTATTTAACATCTGATGGTACAGAAAACTGTAAAAGTATGTTTCTTAGATTTACACTTTACATATTACTTGTTAATGCGATTTGCACTAATATCTCTCTCTTCTTTAATGTAACCTCATGTTTATTTAATTTTCATTGTTTTATTAAAAATGACTGTTATACAAAATTTATACATACATAACAGTATATGCATCTGTTTGTTGTTAATTGTAGGCTGTGCCATTTTTATTCTTTATCCTGCTGCTGTAACACAATAATTTCCCTTGTGGGATCAATTAAGTATCCATCTTAAATGTGCAATGCTTCAAGCTACATTTGTAATATAAAGTGTGTATACATGCAAGTTTAGAGCAATTTGTTTTTTCATTTTTAATTTAGGCCAGTTCCAAGAGCTGTGAGAACAGGAAGTTGGTAAAAAAAGAAAAGAAAAAAAAAAAAAGAAGATTTCGCAGGAGACGAAGAGCAAGAGAAATCATCTGCTTAAGTTAGGTGTGCGCGGCATCACTTCTTCCCACTGAGCTCCGCTTTGCTGTTGGTAAAACTGCTACTTTTGCTGCTCCTATATTCTTGGCTGGCATTTTAGAAGTGAAGATGACAATCGAGCACTAAATCCTCATTGATCTTCTCTTGCAGTAGATTACGCAAGTGGAACGGCAGGGCTCGGGGCAGGCAGACGCTCCCACTCATGCTCAGAATCCTTAAGTAAGCCACCCACCCCCCCAAAAATCCTCTGCTCGGCAAGCAATACCTCCAGTCCCTCTGTTACCACAGCAACAGACTTGGAATCCACCATCTACATCAGGCATTCCTCCTGGCTTTCTGTAAAGGCTCGCCTTAACTGCCACTCAATCATTTTACACCACTAGCGGCCCACCCACCTACTGCTGGGGACATTCCTCTTCTCTGCGACAGAGTTTGGGACCACAGACATACGCCCATCACACAAAATGATTCACATGCGCCGGAACCACAAGCGCTAACACAGACGCACACTTTTTAAATTCAGATGCATGCAGAGGTGAATCTGGTCCCTTATCAGATGAAACAGAAGAGGGGCTGCTCAATGGGATTAACATGTTTACTTTAGTCTGTGTGAATCCCAAAAGGGATTCAGCGTTCCTTTTATAGCTACAGATAACACAAGCAGTCTGTGTAATAACTCATTGCACAACCGTCCTAATTGATTTACGGTGCAGAAACAATGCAGCAGAAGAAAACATTTAAAAAAAAGCACATGAAACACAGATGCGTGCATGTATGTGTACACAAAAACGGATATGTGCTTATGAATACTTAATGATTTTCCACATTATCAAAGGGTAAAACTGAATTTGCCAGCTGCCGGGTGCCGTGAGTGGAATAATGAGAAGCTGTGATGAAATTCCTCAGGACTCAATGTCCTGAAGAAAGTAAACACTGTTGCAAAAGAACAAAGGAACATGCTTGCGTTACAGCTCCATTTCCATGCCTTTAGAAATAAAAATGACTTTTTTCTATTCTTGAGTTAAAAAAAAAAAAAAAAAAAAAAAAAAAAAAAAAGACAATTTGATTAAATTATTTACAGATGTCACATATAAGAAAACACCATCGCTTTTACACCACATACACCTAATTGTAGCAGAAAAGCCACAAACACAACTTTGTGTTTGAAGAATTTGAGACATATGTCATGTCACACATGTTAAAAATCACACATGTTAAAATCAGAAGGATTAGAGACACTAATATTACGAGTTTCTGTGCCACGCCATATATGTGAGGTATATAATGGGAAAGTCAGAGGTCGGGTGCTCCAGAAATCGTTTCAATCTCCTGCGAGGGGTTATCACAGAGCCAGCAAACAAGATGTGATTCTGCATTAAATGGCCACTGATCGAAATGCAACAATCAATGGAAGGCTACACCAGAGGTCCGAGAGCCGATGCTTTTAAAGCTGACAAATCAATTAGCCTGCCAAGATGGAAGGGGGGATGCAAAGGACATCTAAGCCTCCCCCACCTTTCTTTCTTTCTGGTTACTATTGTCCTCACATATAAATAAAACTTCTATTTGTTGTGTTGGACAAACAATGCACAAATCAGTAAACATACTGTACTTACAGCAACATACAGCACCTCAATATTAGTATTCAAACCCCCCGTAACATGTTACTTGGCATAGGCGCAGCTTCGGCAGCACTTTCCTTACACACCAGGGCCTAGTTTCTAATCTTGGAAGAAATAGCTGTTACTATTGTGGCAAGAAAAAGCCACAGGAAAAAGAAGAGCGGGAGCCAAAGTATACCCTACTGAGCCATATCACAAAGAGACCTCCTCTGCCATTAATCCCTCACCCCCTGCAGTGTAATATCACAGGTTACTGCTATCTGTCTGTTTCACTCTCTTCCCTTCCTTTCTCCATTGCAGCAAACCACACAATGGTTTGGGTGCTCATGCAGCGCCTATAAGCATGGCCCAAATTATGGCTTTCCTCCTTGCATGCCTCTTATACAAGAGAGTTTCTGAGGCATAAAACATGGAGAGTGAGGCAGAAAAGAAAAAGGAGTATAACCAAATTCTTGTGGCTGAGCTGAACTTCATCCGTCTTGATGGTGCGGTGCCCAGATCTGAGTGTTTGAGGTGAGGATTGGGCCTAAGTGGATGTAGGCTTCACAGGGCTGAAGACGGAGGCCCTTGTGTTGAAGGCTACAGGTGGGGGAGGGGAGGATCGGCTTTGTGTTTGCCCGAGCGAGAGTATAACTGTGTGTCTGTGGATGTGTGCTAAAATCGAGTGAGTGACATAGCCTGTTTTCATCATTAGCACTCCTCCTCTCACTACGAAAATGCGGAGGTCAGACAGATTAATGATCCAGTGATGGGATGACTCACAGATATGGGGACGAGAGGAGTCCTGCGCCTCCACCCACACTCAGCCGACTGGGAGCTGTGGTGCTGCCGCAGGACTACGGACTTCACAGCACGCTCCAAAAAACATATTATATTGCATCAAGCAGTTGTTCCCTGGATTCACATAAGCCAGTCAGAATTAGTGCTGAAGCCCCCTGCAGGGTGAAGGAGGTGCTTTTTTCCTAAGCGTTATATGTTCTGCTAACAAGCTTTACTTTGACATCATCATAGTTGATGACACTGGATTAAGAAAATTAAGTCCAACATCAAAGAGTTTGATTTAAAAACCCTGAAATGTTGATTTGGATAAAATAAGGAAGGAAACATTTGAGAATATAGCCTGTTTTTCTCAGCTAGTGTAAGCTGATTGTTGGACAACAGTCCATGAAACATTTAGCAAAGCTAAACACTACTAATAAAAAAATAGATCACTGATAAATCAATGATGGAAAAAGATGGAGGAATTAAACTGTACCTGCTTACAATTCTAAAAAGCACCTAAGTTTTACAAACTGGGTGCCTATTAGAGAAATCACATGACATATGGTCATCAACATGACAATTAAATATTAAAAATGCCCCCTTTTACAATCCAGCAGAGTGTTTCATCAGCTTAAATGGACATTGGATTCATTCCAAGTCAGTCTTATGTATACATCATACAATAAGTGATTATATATACATACACACACACACAGTACGATCTTGAACTTCAAGGCTTCGTCAGCAACATCATTAAACCTGAAATAAATTACACACCAACATCTTAATGGGATTTATTTTCACTATCTGTGTGCTACACCAGACAGAGCTCAGCTTCCCTTCTTTCCCCTTTTCCCCAGCATTCCTGATCAGATAAGCCTGGTTAAAACTGGCGGATTGATTTTAGACTGTAAATCCATATTGGAGCTGAGAGAAGGAGCCGCCTGCCATGTGGAGCCAGTGATGAGGTCAGTGCAATCAATGAAGGGGAGCTGGGATAATGAGGAGACCGTCTCAGTGTGGTGTGGGCCAGGGTGGCACAAACTCCACGCAATTAGAGCAAATTACAGCACAAGAGAGGAAACTGTGCGGTGTGGCTAACAAATACCCCTTTCTGCCTGTCACCCATCACCATGAGCCTGACAGCAGATACCTGTGATAAAAGAGTCATCTATAAAAGATGAGGGGGAAGGGGACCACATGCGGTCTCCTCTGAGAGTGTGAGGGGCAGGTCTTTTAAATCAAATCTATTGTGAATAAAAATAGATTTTATTTTTTTTGGCCCATTTTCAAATAGTCTGCTATGCACGTGCATATTGTACTTGGTATTGAATTGTGCCATAGGTGTTTGGTAAAGGGCAGGGAGTGGCAATCTATGCAGATTAGCCAGAAAGTAGCAAAGAGGGAGCAACAAAGGGAACGCTCAAGTGAAAGAAAGAAAGAGCCACAAACTCACTGGGTCAGTCAGAAGAGGTTGCCCAGCAGTCCCATTCACAGTCTTAATCCCTTGCATCATGCTGTTTGAGTGGCTGACCTGGAGCAGCATATGGAGGGGGAATGCAGGTCACTAGAGTTTTTTGAGCTCCCTCCTATCTGTCTGCTCCAGAAAAACTGTCCTGCTCAACAGGATGTAGCTCTGTGTGCCCATCATCCCTGGGCACCAGGCCCACTCCTGCTGGCCAGACCAAAGGTCCACAGTCTGGGATTAAAAAACGGGATTTGGTCTGGGGACGGAATTACACTCACTTTTCTCCTCATTTTGCCGCTTTGTGATAATGGGAGGGGGAAAAAAAATATGAGAGCACAGTAAATACTGCATCATCTCATACAAATGGGTCTGTTATATAAAGGATCTGTTGTACACAGACACACGTGTGCACAAAAATGAATAAATAAACACACTTGTACTGCCAGTGTGACCTAGTCAGGCTGCAGCAGGAGTGTGGACGGAGAGGAATGTGGCCTGGCGAGAGAAACTATTGTGCAGCGAGCATGAAGGGAATCAAACAGGTGCTGCAGACCTGTGCTCGCAGTATTCAGGTCAACACTCTGAACAGCAGATTTCCCTGGAGATCTACAATGACACATTGACCCTCTTTTTCACGCTTAGTGTAAATGAACATATGATGCACGGAGTCAGCATTAAAAACAAGCGAGGCGGAATAATCAGTCTTTTCTGCCCAGTTTTTCCACTGCAACACACTTGGCACAAAAATGCACTTGTAGATCTGCAGAGTCCTTTACATCCAGACACATCCAAAAAAAGGGGGACACTTCATATCGGAGGAAATTTAATTTGTAGTAAATGGGAGATTTGAAAGAGTATATAGTTCAACAAGTACACATCCCATGTACCTCTGCATCAACAGGGGGGAATAGACTATAAGGCCCTTCCCTAAGTCTTTACCAATGTTTAACAACAACACAATGTTTCCATTTTCTTGCTCCAAAATAAAAAAAAATGTCATGACGAAAATGAATAACTGGGAAAAAATACAGAGACTGGTGTTCCAGCAAAAACAAACACTCATTACATTCACGCGGCATTGCCAAATCCTCTTCAGTGCGGCAAGCAGGACTGCAGATCACACACCACATGCACACGGAAAAGGTGATCGGTTACCTGAAGTGTCCCACAGACTGAGCTCCACTCGCTGCTCTTCCAGTTCCAGACAGGCTGTGTAGTTTTCAAATACCGTGGGCACGTAGGTCTGGGGAGCAATTAGCAACACGGTGCCGTTAGTGGGGAGTTGTCAGGCAGCTACAGCTAATGGAAGTTAACTAATCAGTGCTATACACAAAACACACGCACTGACCAATAAAACAATAAGACAAATCTATATCTCTTCTCAATTTGATAGAATTTCGGATCAATTAATCACTTTAATCGCTGCAGCTGCAGGAGATATTCAACGCAGGCCACTGTGAAAGGAAAGCACCAGCTAAGAATGCGCAGAGAACATAATTCCACTGACCACATGATGAAACAATAATGCTACCGATGATATAAAGGTCAGTAAACAGGAAATAAACTTAAAAGCAAGACATTTTAGGAAATGCGCAAGCAATATGTCACTATCCGCAACAGACGCACTGTTTTCTCCGTGCCGTTTCCAAATCATTTGATGAAAACCCAACACCGCGATTGTCAAGAGAACACAGGGCAGACTTTTCTGCTCATATATTTTACTTCAACACGAGTCACATTTTTGCATACCTCTGGATAACAATCCTTCGCCAGGACTTGCAACATCGCCGTTTTTCCGCATTGAACGTCTCCCACAAGAACCAGTTTACATCTCACCACCAGCGGTTGTGTATTTCTCCTTTCCTTCATGATCCCAACAATGCTCCAGAGGATTTATTTAGCAGAAAAAGGGAAAGACAAAGAAACAGCAGAACAGCCCAGCAATTGTTGTCCCAGCTTGACTGAGAAACCCGGTGTCTCGCTCTCGAAGGATGCCCGCAGTTGATCTGATTGAATTTGCCACTGCGGCTCTTTATACAGGCAAGCAGCAGCCAATAGGAGCGCAACATTCCACAGGCTCCCTTTACTGCACTCGAGTTATTCTGTCTGGGAGGATGTGACAGCAGATATCTCGAAATACTTCCAAGATTATTGTGCAAGAAAGAAAGTGTAATAGATTTAGACGCATTTGTCCACGAGTAGGACTAAAAAATTGTAATCTCCCTGTGCAATCATCGGTTTACATAGTTTTATTTTTTAACATAGAAGATTAAAGAACAGTGTAATCTGCAGCCACCCCCTGCAGACTGTTGTTTTGTCACCTGTGTGTCTTGTCACAAACTGACTTATTAAATTGACTCGACTGGCTGAATCGATAGCACCACTGGCTGAGAACAATGGGGCTCTCCCTGCTTATTAGTTTATTTTGATTTGCACTTCAGTCAAGTCACATTTATTTAGCAAACACGTCTCCTTCGGCCTTTTTTTTAAATTAAAAAAATGTATTTTAAAAAATTATTATTTAAAAAAAAACATCTCTTCCCCCTTTGTGGGGCAAATTATGTATAATCTTTGACTGTCTGTTATTTAACACTATTATATTATATATAAGTGTAATAGTACAAACATCATTTTGAAAGCACTGATTGATAGATGGGAATGGCGCAACGTTGGAATGATTGTTTACCGATCAAAGGTCTGACCTTTGTCTGTGTGGTTACTCAGTAATGTCATCATGTTGACATGCGGTGGGACGGTGTGAGGCTCCCTGAGGTGACCATCTATCGGCTTCCCACAGGGTCAAGTCAGAGGCCTGGTCTCTCAAAGCCCTGGAAACACGCAAAAGCTGACTTTCACACCCTGGAGGTTATTACTGTATGGAAACAGCGCCTCGTTGTTAGGAAAGGGGAAATTAAAAGATAAAAGTCAATTAACTTCCCTCTTCTTTGTCTGGCGACCTCCTGGCTAATTTACTTACTGTTGCCAATCACAGCTCTTTCAGTTTTGACCCAGTGGGTCAAAGCAATTTGCCTTTGTTCACAAACAGCTCATATCATTCATCCGTCGAGCTGCCTTGTCTTTTACAGCCTAACGTGTCTCGCTGCCATCACACATAAGGTTGTTAATAAAGGATGTGACTGCAGGGGGAAATGTTCTATGATGCTGTTAGCCTTTCATTCCCACCGTTGATCACATCTGACCAGGTAGTACTCTCTATTTGGTTTGTGAGGTTTGCTCAAATAAATTGAAGTTTTAGTGTTTTTAGAGTTTGAAGGGTTAAAGAAAAATCTATCTAAAAATCTTGTATTGCTTAGATAACAGGAGAAGCTATGAAATCAGGCTAAAGGAAGGCAGGGGTGAGAATAACTGTGAGGGCAAGTAATAAACTTGTATTCCACGATAAAAATGTGTGTTTTCGACTAATCCAACAACACAGCAACTCCAGTAGAAACAATGTAAAACCTCTAAGCTTCATTACTTACAACTAGAGCAATATCAATATACATAATTATTGCATTTTAAATATTTAATTACAGGTCAGTTAAAAAATACTTCCCCACTGATCGGTAAATAAGATACAGTGATGCAGAAAGTATGAAAAAGAAAAGTTGCAGGTTACGAACTCTCTCTAACCCTTCTAAACTAACTGCAGCATGACGTCTGTGTGATCACCACAGATGCCCTCTGATGGGACAGAGACAGGTGGCTGTGAATAATCATCAGGCATAAAGTGACACCTTCCAATATGGCTGGTACAGGGAGATGAGGAAGGGAGGTAGGAGGAGGCTGACTGCAGGAAGCATTGACACTTTAGGCTATCACACCTTGATGTATTGGGTGACAGTGTTGGTAGCTAAATCAACAGACTGAGAGTGGCGGCAGTCTACAAATAGCCCCAGAAAAACAAACAAAAGATGAGTCAAGATTCTGATTTTATTTATTTATTTTTCTGCCACAAAATCGTCACCAGATGGAGCTGTAACCCCGGAGGTCTGGCATAAATTTAACATGTGCTGCATCAAATTAACACACTTTAAGCATCATTTTGCATTTTTTGAGTCTCTCTGTAAATAGGCATCGATTCGATCAAATATGGAAGTTATATAAATCTGTCAGTTCGTGAAATATGGTTTTATAGAGTACTGTACACAGTACTGCAGAGAGAGCTCCAGGTTTTCCTGCTTTGCTTTTTCATTTATTTTGAGTCCAGTCCTTTTACCTGGCTGTTTTTTTCTTGTTTGTTTGTTAAGCCACCTAACAGTGATCTGTGCATCATTTGAATATAAAGATCACCTAAATCAAGGGATTAACCAATCTTGTGTCTAAACATAACAAAATATTTAGAAAAGAACCGATTTGAAATTGTATTTTTAGTCACCTTGTTACTAGTAGCCTGTACAAAATACTTTGAAAAACAATCCATAGCAGATGAACACTAATTGAAAGTCATGTTCTTGATAAATAAGAAAAAAATCCAGCAAGAACATGACACGGGGCCTGATGATCCATACATTGCTTAATGAAGCCTCATAACGAATGGTTGCAGTGGAAGGATGGCTGTCAAGAAGTTCATCTTAAGGAAGGCAATGAGAGAGAAAAGGCAAATTACACAAGAACAGAGCCCAAAATCAGCAGCAGGTCAAGGTTGTCAACATGCAAAGAGTGTGACTGGCAAAAGCCCAAACACACTGCCAGTTTACTAAATGCAAACCTGGAAAGAAAAACATCCAATAGAACATTTCCAGTCATGGATCGGCCTCCCCAGAGTCTGGACCTCAATACTGATGCAGTGTGGAATCATTATAGAAGAGAATGGACTCAAAGGCTGGAGGACTTTTCCCGAAGACGTCTTCAAGAAATGACAAGGAAACTTGCCTACAAGACCGATCGAGCTGTGTTAAAGAATAGATGTTAGCTGTTAAAGATGTCCATACTAAACATTGACTTTCAGTCTCATTAGAATAAAAAAAAGTCTGTTTTTGCCTTATAGACTGTGTTTCCATGTATGTTTACACATACACTGAGCCTATTTCCCAGTTTTTGCTAATAAAACAGAAAGAAATGAGGGGTGCCTCAAGACCTTTCCAGGGTACTGTAAGCCCTGGACCAATGGTAAAAGATGATCATGTTCCAAATAACATGTATATGAACAATGTTAGCAGATTTGTTTCTAACTCTAATCCCGTGTTAGCCCTGCTGTGTTAACCCTGGTGAACTGTCCAGGGTGTAGGCTGCCTCTCGCCCAGCTAGCTGGGAAAGGCTCCAGCCTCCCTAGTGACGCTTAATTGAATAATACAATAATATATTGCTTACATAGGAAACACAGGTCATAATGAACAAAACAAGTGGCTTATTAGTACTTATATAAATTATGTTAGTAGATTGTTTTTCAGTGAATGATGCAAAAGTATGTGTGGGTTGATTATAGAGATCCGGAATATGTTGTTAAATTTGTTATGACCCCTCCCACCCCTTCTTACTATGCTAAACATGGGTGTCTCAGCCAAGGTACAACTAAGGGAAGAAACTTTCTTATATAGTAGAAGATTTCCACAAGATTTTTCTTCCTCACATTCATCTGCAATTAGTCCAGTAGTGTAGTTGGGCAGTGCTATGGGGTGGCTGGAGGACAGACTCACAACTTTAATTTCAGTTTGTCTCAATTTTGTTTGATTGATGTCAAAATGGGAAACTGCATCTTGTTTGTTGCATAGATAGCTAGAATGCTACTTCTGCCCTCTGTTGGTGGTTTTGTGAATCGCTGATGAAAAGTCACATGGCACACACAAACGTTAATGAAATGTTTTTTTTATTCACCTCCTCCTTCTCGTGTGCTATTGACAAAAGATGCACCCATTACACATCATCATCAGACACTGTTGGATATCATTTATCTTGCAGACTTGTCAGAAACGATGAGAAACATTGACATCATCATTAGGCCAAACAGTTTTTTTCCTCTGTATTGGAGGTGGATACAGCATAACGTTTAGTATAAATAATAGTAGTGCAATTATACTCCATCTTAACTGAGGAGATATTTTGATAGTCTCAGCTAGTGTCTCGTTGATGCTAAACTTTGTATTGCATACAGAATTTAGGCAAGTGAAACGCAATAGGAAATGATAATTGTAAAAAATTGTGCTTTGGAAAACCAAAGAAGTATAATTGACTTTTGTATAAATTTCTTGCAATAAAAATTAAGCAACAGGAGAAGCTGAGTAGGTTTTATCGAAAGAAGGTACTGTGCTCTCTGTGTTTCATCAAGTAGAAGTTATGTATCTCAAACCTGGCCCTTCAGAAATGAATCAGGGTGTTAGTGGAAGCAACCTTAATAGTGGTCCTATATAAGCTGTGCACCATTCTTTAAAAAAAGAAAGAAAGAGGATATTACATATAAACACATGCTTTCTGAGGCGCTGATTATAGAATTGTGTACTGGTTAAAACCTGTCAGCTTTTTCTGTTATTGTGCAATCTGCTAATAATAATAGTATCTGCATATTTAATATACAGTATTTACATTTAAGCCTTTATAATGCATATGTAAGTGGTTACATAGGTCGCGCAGATTTAGTCTGAAGAGTGAACGGCTCATGTGACGCTGATCTGAAAAAGCCCTTCTGATGAAACAGGAATACAATATATCATGCACATATATTCGATTATTTATATGTATGATATGTTAGCAGAATTCTGTTGCTTTAAATGACACAAGCAGTTGCATTAATGCGATTATTGAAGTGCTTACTGAGACGCATTCATTTTTGTGAGCAATGCAAGACATGAAATGGATGCAGAAAAGAGAACACTGGTGGTTGTATACGCACATGAAATCTGACATGTTTTTGATTAAAGTCTATGCATATATATAATGTATATCCTGCTATGTGGGCAGAGAATAAGTAATAATGGTTATAAGACCTGGTACTAATGTAAATACATCACCAGAGGTCACCCTCATGTCCAGTGATAATAAAATACTTTCCCAGGCTTGTTAGGAAGTAAACCTTTACAATCAGTTCATGTGCTCAGAGATCTTGTTCCTGTAGAGGAGATGAAGTCTTCTCAGTGGTGTAGTGTAGTGAGTGTCCACAGCTTCTTATTCCCAGAGCAACTTAATGCTGACGCTATATTGACAGAGAGTAACAGCAAAATATTGGACGTAAATAAATAAATGACCATGTTCCTGGCTGCGTAGCTTACGGTGATGCGCTTATTGTAATTTAGAGCTACAATCACCAAGCACCACGTTCAGAAGACACACTGAGGTAATATGTAATTGTTAATTGTCTACAGATGTTGTTGGAAATCATTAATCTTTCTCATTTCTAATATTTCCATTATTATCGTTATTATTATTATCATTATTATCATTATTGTTATTATTATTATTATCATTATTATTATTATTATTATTATTATTATTATTATTATTGGCTCATTGGTTCCAAAGTTTTACTTTCAAACCATCTTAATGAACATTTTGAAGTTAGTCCTAAGTCAGGAGCAGTTGTGGAATAGCTCATGTTAAACATGGGTTATCTGTGATCAATTATTTCTGGGAGGATAAAACAATTTTACAAACTATTTTTTCTTTGGGGTAGGAAAATCATGTAAATACAGTCAAACTTTGTAAAGTGTAAGCATTTAGGATATTTAGATGTGATAACAGACCTTTTCGGGTTTTGCCTCCAATCATCTGCAAACCACAGTTATTATAAGTAATCCTTCCTAAGCCAGTGGACCAGCGTTTATACATTCATAGCTGTGACAAAGATGCATATAGACCGTCTGTGCATGTCTGTGCTTGTTATACATGTGTTCAGCATCACTGTTGTGTACAGATATGCAATCAGTGACACTGAGAGTGAGCTTACGAATTATAAACAGTAGTAACAACAGTTACAGTAAAAAGGTCAATAGAAAGAATAACATAAAACAGGAGCTGCAAGTAAGGGAAAGTAAGAGTCCTCTAACATAAGTGACAACATGATGCCTCTGACATTGCATTTGTGCTGTAGAGAAAACATTTGGTTAAACATTTGGAATGACAACTCATCGAGAGCTGCAGAGATGGAAGACATACAAAGCTGATTTTCTGTCACCCTCTTTAAGTGGCGTGTATCAGACACAAACCCCCTGGAACCCTGTGTTGGGAGGGTGTATAGGTTTTACACTGGTAGCTTTGCTATGCTACAGGACTGTAGGCTAACTTCCTCTGAACTTTACAGGTGTGTGATGTAGCTACAGTGAGAGGCGAATCTGCCTGTGTGAGCAAACGTAGGCTGGCGCACCTTTGTCAGGTGGGAGACGTGACTTCAAATGTAAAAGCGGGGAGTGAGGTACAGGTTTAAGGTCACGGTGAGAGAAAAATATGAGAAAGGGGGCAGATAGTGAGTTGTAACTGCACTGCTACACTGTTTTTCTGAAATACCAGTGCACGTGGAGCTGTAGAAATTGGCCCTGAGTTGTCGCGTGGTAGTGGGAGCAGGGAGCTTTTGCCGAGGGGGCAGCAGTAAGGTGGAGGCTCCTTCTTCTGTTGCAGCATTGATCAAATCATTCTCCTCCTTCTTCTTGTTTTCCTCTTTTTTGTGTCTTCTCTCCTTCCAGCTCACCAGCCTCCTGCTCCTTCTCTCTCACCATACTCTGCTTTTCCTCTTTTCTTTGGCCCAGGTGTGGCTGGAGAAGGTGGTGGCCAGGTTTGGAGAGACGAGGACTGCTGCTGCCCCCTGGTGGTGCCCTGGTCCCTGTGCGCTACGACTGTCTGACCCCAGCTGACAGCACAAGCTGCTCCTGCAGAGGTCGAAGGGGCAAATTTCAAGAGACGGTAATGATAGCAGATCCAGAAAAGTAAGTTTCATCTCACCTACATCTGAAGTAGTGCTCATTCTATCAACTCTTGAGTCTCAGAAAACTAGAGTGGACACAGGAAGCAAAGGATATGTGATTAATAATGCATCCGAAAGTAGTAAATCAAGCACCACCTGAGGAGTTTCTTTTTCCTCTTACCTGTTGGCTGGAGTTAGCAGAAGGTGGAGTTATCACACTTTGGTCCAGTAAGGGATTCACTGGGGCAGAACAGGGGAGGTGCGTAGCACGCCAATAAATTTCCAGGTACTCTGCAAGGTGGTCACATGCATCTTCCAGCTGATTCTCATCCAGGATGACATCAAACATCTCCTGTTGATTCAGAAAATGATAAGAGAAAACTTATACAAAGTCCTTCAATGAAAACTTTTTAAACTTTTAAAATATCATTTAATTACATAACGTGACATACAGGTGGACACTGAGCGAGCTTGTCCCCCGCCATCATCTGGACATTGAGGTGTTTGCTTTGTGATTTCCCTCGAGATTTAATCAACCTCTGAAGAACCTGCCAGATGATTCAGACACACACACACAAAAAATGAACGAGCATGGTTTTAATTTAATATCATACAATTAATTTATCAGTTTTAACCGCATTAGACACACCCCTTACAGACAGAAATTGTTTAAATAACGCTCATGCGTACGTTCAGTAAGAAAGATCTGTAATCACTCATCTGCCTGCTTTCCTGTTTCCATGTCTACCTCTTTTCCGTGCTGTCCGTCTCAATATTGACATCTTTACTCGAGTCCAATCATCTTCTCACCTGCCTTATTTGAGCCAATCAGCCTCCACTCTGTGTGGTTTAAATCTACGCTCTCTTTCATTCTCCCTTTCAGACTCTCATTTGTGCAACCCACTTCCCCCCCATCTCCCACTCAGAGTCACTCAGTGCTCTAAATCCTATCACTGCTGGGATTCTGTTCTGCCATTATGAGTCATCAAAGTCTCAATTCCTCTTCAATTCTTCCAAATGATTTCTCCTCATTGATTTGCCTCTTTTGAGCTCCTTCAAACAAATGTTAATCTGTACGGGGAGTGTACTATTTTAAAACCTTCCGAGTTGAACTTTCTAATTCTGTTATCATTTATCCATCCAATCATTTATCCATCCATCTTCTTCCTCTCACCCTATTCAGGTTTACAGGGAGGCTGGAGCCTATCTTAGCTACTATTGGGCGAGAGACAGGGTACAGTTCACCAGCCTGTCACAGGGCCAACACAGAGAGAGAACCATTCACACATAGGAGTCATTTACAAAAACCAATTAACCTAACTCTTAATTGCATGGACTGCTTTGGACTGCTGGAGGATGCTGGAGTACCTGGAGAGAACCATCCAACCATGTACGTCATTTACCATCTAAAACAAGGCATTTTGTGTACGATCCCTCAGATGCTGGGAACCAGCAAATATTTAAATAATTAAATATTACCACAGAGGTTTAATTAACCACTGGTTTGCTCAGAATCCAGAATATGACCAGAAAGGCAGCTTTGAGGATTGTACTCTACTTTAGGTGATGAGACTTTGACGTAGACAATGATGGGAGCCAGAGAGGTTTTGAGGAGTTGTGCTGGGTGATTGATGGTGTCTGCGTCCAGGACGACCAGCTGAAGAGACTTGGCCAGCTCGAAGATCCTCTCTATTTCACTCTGGACCTCAGCTGTGAATGGCAGAGAGTTGCATAAGCCACTTTTAACAGAGCTGCATCACTTATTTAAGTTTTCCTGTCACTGAAGACAGAAGGGGCATCTATTTTTAGCATCCATCTGTCCATCTTTATTGAGCAAAAAAAGATCAAAGACAAGTTTTTAAAATTTTTTTTCTAAATCTCACCCAGACTTGAGCGTGTGTTGGATCTCTCCATTATGGCTTTCTTGTTCAGCACTGAGCGCTTTGCCAATGACAGATCAGCGGTCACCCGGGTAATAGTGATCCTAAACAAGAAGCATCTTATCACACCACATCCACAACTGTTCCATTTCAAAGGAGGAGACGAGCTCGTGCTCCTTCTCGCTTGCAACTAAAAATAAATCATCGTCATCGTGTGTGCTTTCGAGCACGAAACGTGCAATGCAGAAACACACAAGCAGCTCGGCAGTTCAGACATAGCGTTACTGTACGCTGCTCTGCATCTGCAGAGAGTGACACAGACAGCCGTTACCCACCTGCCATCAAATCGGTGCTTTAGGAAGTCAAACAAAGCTTTCTGCATCATGTCTGTTACCTAGGAAACAGAAACAAGGAAGATAAGTGAGGGACGTTGTGAGAGAGAAAGGGCTGTGAAATATGCATTCACTCATGCACACGTCTTGCTCTTTAGTATTTCTTGCATGTTTCACTGATTTTAGTGACACCTGACTTTAAGTGTCTGCACTAAATGAGGATTAATACAGCTGTCACACACTATAATGAAGCTGTAAACAGCTGGAAGGACAGTGATGGGATTTTTTAGCTTTAAGACCAATCAGTTATAGCTTTGTAAAGAGACAGAAGAGTCAGCACAGATAAAAATGAGCAGCATTACAGTCCTTCTTTTTTCAGTGTTAAATCACTTGGATGTCTGAGTGGCACAATGATGTTTGTGCACTGCCAGGATGAAGTGAAGCAGTCTATTTTCAAACAGTCCTGAAAAATGAATGGCCTTTGGAGTAGAGGATGAAGCTTCCACACTGAAACAGAGAGATGGGGAAAGAAGGCAAAGGAGTGGAAAGGAGGAGAGACAGTGCCGAAGAACCCTGATGAGTCGCCGAAAATAATTTGTACACAAGAGACGGAGCACAGAGAAAGAGAATGTGAGGGAATGAGAGAAAGAGGCAGCCTGGCATTCACCACTGGAGCATCCCCAAAGCACATTACCAGAGCAACGCATAAATATTTCAACACACACACACACACACACACACACACACACACACACACACACACACACACACACACAAAACAAACAGCTTGGCTCATAGCCTGCACCGCCACAGAGGAAAGAGCAAGGCAGGGAGAAAATGTTGAAGCACATGCCTCACATATTCATCCACCGAGTCATCGAAATTGATGCATTCTGACATTATTTCGTTTTGACTGCAGTGGGTTTTCGTATGTCTCATCTGTGATGTGTGCATGTGTGTGTGTGCGTGTGTGTGTGCGTGTCTGTTCAGTATGGGAGTATAACACATGGTGTGGCTAATGCAAAGGGGCATACATGCAGTTCTGTAGCTCTCAGATGGATCTAAGATGCCTCCTGTGTGCCCTTTAATTTCATCAGGGTGGGACTGCGGCTTAGTAAAAGTGTTCATGGGATAATGGAAGCCAAACACCCCATTTTTACTGGATCAGAAAATCCACACCTGATTAAACTCATGTTAGAAAGGGAATCCAGAAGAGAAAAAGAGCAGAAACTAGCTGGAAATAACTCAAACATCTAAATACGTTTAACATATAGTTACAGTAAATATTATTGCTTAATTTCCTGCTTAATTTCCTAATTTTTATTCTTTGTTAATAAAAGCAAAGTGAATGAAAGGCTTCACATATTGGCTAATTCCTAGTTAGATTACTGCAACATTAAGTAATGCCTCAGAATAGCTTATTTGTCTTTTTCTGGAAAAGCGATATGGTACATTGCAGCTCTGTGGGCTGCACTTAGGCACACTGGTACTTTCAGCTAACTGCTTGTGTCAGCATACTAATGTGCTCATAATAACAATGCGAGTTTACTAATTATACACATTTTACAGCAGAGGCTACTTTGGGACATCATAATGTTTGCAGCAAAAAAGTGAGATTTTGACCTGCCAATGACTCATCATGAGCAGCATGAATCTCAAATTTCATAAATGTTCACACTAGAGACAAAGTTAAAGGACGGCCAAACTATTGCTGAAATTTGTCGTTTTTGCTTTGCATCAATTTGTCAGATAGCTATTGCTATATTTTCTGACTGGACCAAAATGCAACTGTGATCAAATGTGTTGTCCATAATAAAAATACATAAAAAACTATCTCTAAAAATACATTTAATATTTAAATCAAATTAATTTACATGCATCAAAACACAAGATTAAACAGAACCAGGCCCAAATAACTGAAGAACAGTACTGATGGCTGACTCACCTCGTAGCCTTTCAACGAAGGACCCACCAGGACCACCGGCCGCATTGAAGGGACCACATCATATGGGGGAACATGTTCAGTCTGCACAGGCAACAAGCAGACAGTGTGGAAGTCATGAAAATTACGATATGTGGAAGTTACAGTAATACACGATCACAGAGATAGATTTTAAAGTTATAAAAATTTAATAAAAACATTTAAATTAAATAATCGGAGCAGAGTGATACACAGATGAATACCCCAACATACCTGTTTCTGCTTCTGTTTGGCTTTGAAAACAAACAGAATGAACATTGAGCAAAGAGGCGAAAAGCTAAGTGGGTTCTTGCAATTAGTGATGAGCAGGGGCGTGTCCAGTGTTTGTGAAAGTGGAGTGGAGGGGCTTATGATTCCACTTAGCAAAATTGCAAGTTACTAACTGGGCTAACAAGAGTAAAACATTTTTAAACTATACAGACTAAACAGAAATGAGTAACCCCACTCTGGAAATAAACTGAAAATAATAAAACTATTTAAAAAAAAAGAACAATAACAATCTGGGCTTTTTTTTTTTTTTGCATTCACTCGAGTTTTTCTTCACAATTGCACAGTTTTGTTAACTGTGTGTTATTCAGGAAGCTCTGATCCAAATTCAGCAGTGATCAAATAACTTTTGAACTTCAGTTTGATTTAAAGTAAAACTCTATAGTAAAAAGATTTTTGTAAACACGTGTTTTCCCTGAAGGTCACATTTTTGCCCAGAAATAGTCCCTGTACGCAAATCTGACTCAGTAGCAGCTTGAAGGCCTGACAGACAGACATGACAGCGGGACTCCTTCAGTCTCTCTCACCTGCAGATGGAGGGGTGGACCTCCAGCCTCCGGATGACGCGTTCCCTCCTTTCCTGTGGAGCAACATAATGCAAAGCTTCATTATGCGTGGATCCCCTAAGGAGGCAATTTAGAAAGAAGGACCTCCAAACCACAGCAACATATGAGCAGAAGTAATAAAATAACTTTTCAAAGAGTGTGCTGCAGAGGAAGCTGCTAAAATTAGGACAACAGCGTCAGAAAAACAGAGAGGTCTCTCAGAGCTGCGTAATCTCTGACCTAGCTGCTGCTTTCTGCTCTTGCTTTATCCTCATGGCCTCAAGTTTGACTGGACTGGGGATGAAAGTGATGTCTGCCCCTTCCTTCACCAGCCGACCAATCCACCAGTCATTGTTGTATTTCTGTGTAACAGTGAAAGACACCTCTCATGATGCAAGATGCGTTAACATTAATCAGAGTAAATATTTATTGTTACTTTATTTGTAAACCATGTACAAATGCAGAATTGTAATGGCTCTCACCTCTTTTATGTGCAGAAAGTCTTTGGTTTCAAAGTTAATTGCAGCACCTTGGACTGGACAATCTTCATCAAGGGCCCCACAGTAACTCACATTGGTTCTCACTGCAAATGCTACTGATTTAGCCTGTGGACGACAAAACCCCCCCAAAACAAATAAGATCTATGGCAATATATCGAATGACCTTTTCTTTAATATTCAGCAAAATTTGTATCTGAAGATTAGTTTTAGTTCTGTAGACCCTTACACACATAAAGACTAAAGTGGTCGACTGGAACGCAAGCTTTCAGCATGACTCAGGACTTTATTGCTGTACCTGTGGAGGTAGAGGTGATTTTAAAGCCAATAATTGACCTTTGACCTTGAGGCTCTCACCTTGGCTCTCTCCAGCTGCAGCTGAGCCTGGCGCTCGGCTTCACGCCGAGACGCCTCCTGGTCCTCCTCCAGGGACAGGTCGGAATCAGAGGGTCGACTAGTGTAGGAATCGGCTGAACCCTGAGTGAACGAGGAAAGGAAGGAAAGTCTTAAAGCAGGTGGAGAAGACATAAATCAGCCCAATAAGGTACCTGGAAGCAGCTGTTCAGAATTCCTCACGGCATAGAAAACACAGACTTAGCTCATATGTTGCGGATTCAGCTACAGATAGATCATCATCTACGCATTGACCTCCGTACTTCCCTTTTCTTTCCTTACTATTCACCTGTTTCTGCGCCTGGGTTTCTTCTTCTGCAGCTTTCCAAAGCATGTCACCCAGGGGAATATGAACACGAGTGCTGCAACACTAACAAGCAACACGACCTTGCTGTCTATTTATTCACTCAGACTGGCACACCATACATTGGCAAAAGTCCAATTTTCAACCAAGCATTTTGATAACACATGCTGCAATATCCAGACTTATATCCAATGTCTGGATATGATTTATAATGAAACAAAAACAACAACAACAACATAGGACTATTACCACTGGTACTGCTTTACAATTTAAAATCATACTGTCAGTACTGTATAAAGTCTTGAATACAACACAGCTTTTTCAACACAGAAATAGAAACCAGGAGAATAAACCAGCTGTACTCCACAGAACCATCCAAGGTATACGCTCAGAGGCAGGGGAACAATATGAGAACCACACCAGCAAACCTGGAGATGGAGCAATACTGGAAGAGCATATGGGAGAAGGACGCAACCCACAACGTCAATGCTCAGTAGCTATTGGATCTAAAGTGGCAGCACAAATGAACAGACTGCTAATGGATGAAACACACCCAGAATTGTTAACTGAAAGCCAGACAGTCCTGATCTCCAAGGACCCCCAGAAGGGAGCGGTCCCATCCAACTACCAGCCAATAAGCTGCCTTAGTACCACTTGAAAGCTCCTGTCAGGCATCATAGTGGCTAAGATGAACAGGCACGTGGGTCGATACATGAGCAGGGGCACAGAAATGAATTGGCAGGAATAACAGAGGAATGAAACGCAAGCTCTTGGTAGATAAAGCAGTCGCCCAAGACTGCAAGACCAGACTGACCAACCTGTGCAGTGCCCGGATTGATTACAAGAAAGCCTGTGACTCGAAGCCCCGCACATGGATCCTGGAATGCCTAGAATTGTACAAGATCAACAGGACCTGTAGAGCCTTCATCAGGAACTCAATGGGGATGTGCCAACAACACTAGATGCCAATTTCAAGCCCATAGCATAAGTCACCATCAAGTGTGGGACCTATTAAGGAGATGCTATGTCCCCACAGCTGTTCTGCATAGGCCTGAACCCCCTCAGTGAGATCATCAACAAAACTGGCTGCGGATACGACTATGGAACGGAGAAATCGTCAGCCACCTCCTGTACATGGATGACATCAAGCTGTATGACAAGAGTGAACGAGACATCGATTCACTGATCCACACTACCACGATATACAGCAATGACATCGGAATGTCGTTCAGGCTGGAGAAGTGTAGTCGGATGGTAACAAAGAGAGGGAAGGTAGTCAGAACTGAGGGGATCAAGCTACCAGAAGGAAATATTGCAGACACTGAGGACAGCTACAAGTATCTGGGCATCCCACAGGCATCCCACACGAAGAGGCTGCTAAGAAAGCTGCAACCACTAAGTATCTGCAGAGGGTCAGGCAAGTCCTGAGAATCAGCTGAACGGTAGAACAAAATATGGGTTATCAACACCTACGCCCTGCCTGTGATCAGGTACCCTGCTGCTGTTATAATAAGGAGGAAATAGAAGCCAGTGACATCAAGACGAGAAAGCTCCTTAACATGCATGGAGGGTTTTACCCCAAGTCCAGCACCCTGAGACTGTATGCTAAGCGGAACGAAGGAGGCCGGGGACTGGTGAGTGTCAGTACCACAGTTCAGGATAAGGCAGCAAACATCCACAAATACATCAGGAAGATGTGCTCAGTGAATATCTCAGGGAGCAGAAATGCACCAAAGAGGAGCACGAGGAGGAACCATCATAGAAGGACAGGCCCCTGCACGGTATGTACCACCAGCAGATAAAGGAAGTGACTGACATCCAGAAGTCCTGCCAGTGGCTGGACAAAGCTGGACTGAAAGATAGCACAGAAGCACTAATCATGGCAGAGATGGGCAGTAACACGTTACTTGTAACGCGTTACTGTAATCTGATTACTTTTTTCAAGTAACGAGTAAAGTAAGGGATTACTATTGCAAAATTGGTAATTAGATTACCGTTACTTTCCCGTAGGAACGCTGCGTTACTGCGTTACTAAAACCGTGATTTTTTTGCAAGAATGTCTCATGACAGTGACGTAAGCGATAGAGGTGGGAGTCACCATACATCCCACGATACAATATTATCACAATACTTAACGCACGATACGATAGTATTGCAATTTTATTTATTTATTTATTATTATTATTATTATTATTTATTTATGAAAACTATGCAGCCCATTCAGCAACAGAAGAATTTGAAAGTAAATTAAAACAAAATATAATTTTACATTAAATAAAAAAGTTTTAAACTTAATTAAAATAAAACATGTCTTAAATTAAAATAAGTAAACTGTCATGTTTATTGCTGCCAAAAAAAAGTTTAACACATTTGGACAGTGAAGGAATGTCAGGATTCTTGCTCAGAAAAAGGATCAACATGCTCTGAAGTCAGAGCACAAAAAC